TCGCGCATTTCTACTACGATTACTTCTACTACTAATTCTACTTTTGCTACTGCTGCTACTACTACTACTACTACTACTACTACTACTACTAAGGCTACAACAACTACTACTACGACTACTACGACTACTACGACTACTACGACTACTACTACTACTACTACTACTACTACTACTACGACCACTACTACTACTACTACGAGTACTCCTCCTAGTACTACTACTACTACTACTACTACTATTACTACTACTACTACGACTACTACTACTACTACTACTACGACTACTACTACTACTGTTGCTACGATGTTCGCTATTAATACAACGCATACCACTACTATAATTCCTACTACCACTGGTCGAACTACAACTGGTGCGCCTACTGCTGCTTTTATAATTACTCTTATTATTACTACGACTACTACGGCTACTACGATCACAGCGGATACGACTATTACGCTTATTACTGCCGCTGCTTATCTATCATTATTACGCGTACTACTACTACTACTGCTACGACTACTTCGTCGTGCTACTACTATTTCTACTACCGCTACGATTGCGACTTGTACTGCTGATGCTACTGCGACGACGACGGCGAGAACTACGATGCTTACTACTCGTACTTGTATTTCATCTTCTCTTACTACTACCTACTAGTACTACTACTACTACTACTACTACTACTACTACTACTACTACTACTACTACTACTACGACTACTACTACTACTACTACTACCACTACCACTGCCACTGTCACTACTATTATTACTACTACTACTACTACTACTACTACTACTACTACTACTACTACGACCACTACCACTACGACGACTACTACTACTACTACTACTACTACTACTACTATTATTACTACTACTACTACTACTACTACTACTACTACTGTGACTTCTACTACTGATACGATTACGACGATTTCCCTACCTAGGCTCTGCCTAGAAGGGTTCTTACTCTCTAGCTTACAGGGGCCGGGCAGTGGAAAGCGCCCCGGGCGGTTCCCCCAGAGCCCTGGGAGCGGTTCCCCCCAGTCCCTTGGGAGCTTTAGCTTTAGCTTTAGCTTTAGCTTAGCTTTAGCTTAGCTGTAGCTTAGCTTTAGCTTAGCGTTTCGCCTAGCTTTTCGCTTAGCGTTTAGCTTAGCTTTAGCTTAGCTTTAGCTTAGCTGTAGCTTAGCTGTAGCTTAGCTTCAGCTTAGCTTTAGCTTAGCTTTAGCTTAGCTTTAGCTTCGCGTTTCGCTTAGCTTTAGCTTAGCTGCTGCTCAGCTTTAGCTTAGCTTTAGCTTAGCTTTAGCTTAGCTTCAGCTTAGCTTTAGCTTAGCTTTAGCTCAGCTTTAGCTTAGCTTTAGCTTAGCTTTAGCTTAGCTTTAGCTTAGCTTCAGCTTAGCTGTGGCTTAGCTTTAGCTTAGCTGTGGCTTAGCTTTAGCTTAGCTGTAGCTTAGCTTTAGCTTAGCGTTACTGTTACTACTAATGCTGCTTTCCTAGCAGTTCCAGCTCCTAGGTAGGGTCGCACTGGGATAATACTTTTATTCCCTACCTAGGCCCTGCCTAGAAGGGTTCTTACTCTCTTAGCTTAAAGGGGCCGGGCAGTGGAAAGCGCCCCGGGCGGTTCCCCCAGTCCCCTGGGAGCGGTTCCCCCCAGTCCCTTGGGAGCTTTAGCTTTAGCTTTAGCTTTAGCTTTAGCTTTAGCTTCGCTGTAGCTTAGCTTTAGCTTAGCGTTTCGCTTAGCGTTTAGCTTAGCTTCAGCTTAGCTTTAGCTTTAGCTTTAGCTTAGTTGAGCTTAGCTGTAGCTTAGCTTCAGCTCAGCTTTAGCTTAGCTCCAGCTTTAGCTTAACTTTAGCTTAGCTTTAGCTTAGCTTTAGCTTAGCTGTAGCTTAGCTTTAGCTTAGCTGCTGCTCAGCTTCAGCTCAGCTTTAGCTTAGCTTTAGCTTTAGCTTAGCTTTAACTTAGCTTTAGCTTAACTTTAGCTTAGCTGCGGCTTAGCTTTAGCTTAGCCTTAGCTTAGCTTTAGCTTAGCTTTAGCTTAGCGTTACTGTTACTACTAATGCTGCTTTCCTAGGGGTTCCAACTCCTATGTAGGGTCGCACTGGGATAATTACTACTACTACTACTACTACTACTATTACGACTACTACTACTACTACTACTACTACTACTACTACTACTACTACTATTACTACTATTACTACTCTACTACTACTACTACTACTACTACTACGACTACTACTACTACTACTACTACTACTACTACTACTACTACTACTACTACTACTACTACTACTACTACTACTACTACTACTACTACTACTACTACTACTACTACTACTACTACTACTACTACTACTACTACTACTACTACTACTACTACTACTACTACTACTACTACTACTACTACTACTACTACTACTACTACTACTACTACTACTACTACTACTACTACTACTACTACTACTACTACTACTACTACTACTACTACTACTACTACTACTACTACTACTACTACTACTACTACTACTACTACTACTACTACTACTACTACTACTACGACTACGACCACGACTACGACTACGACTTCGACTACGACTACGACGACGACTATTACAACCGCTATTACTTCTACAACTACTCCTACGCTTTGTACGACAAAGGCTGCGAGTACGGCTGCCAATGCTGATACTACCACTTCTACTACGGCTACAACATCTACTACTACTACTACTACTACTACTACTACTACTACTACTACTACTACTACTACCCCTACTACTACTAGTAGTACTACTACTACTAATAATAATAATAATACTAATACTACTACTACTACATGTACGACTCCGACCAGTATTTCTATTACTACTACTACTACTACTACTACTACTACTACTACTACTACTACTACTACTACTACTACTACTGCTACTACTACTACTACTACTTATACTTATATTTCTTCTTCTTCTTCTACTACTACTACTACTACTGCTATCACTACTACTACCAATGATCTTTTCAGTACTGCAACCACTACGAATGATAACTGCAGTATAACTACTAATGATAGCTTTGGCACTTCTGTCACTGGTACAAAGGGAGGCCACGGGAGGCCACGATGCCTGACCCGTTTTGGATCCGGCAACGCACGGCAGGCAACGGGAGTCGCACAGCCGAGTCTTCATCCAGTAGTCCATTCATTGAGCACTGGTAATGGACGAGTTTTGCAGGCAGCTGTCGCTCAGCAAGACGACACCATTGGACGCCTCCCCCGCCGCGCGCGGAAGGGGGAGGGCTATGGGATCCGTTGGGTCGGCGGCGCGCCGAGGGGCGAAGTGAGATCGGGGGGTGTTCCCAGGGGGGGGGCGGCGAGTCTGCTCAGAAGCCCCCTGCGGCTTCGAGACGCCCCCCTGCGGCTTCGGAGAAGGCTTAGAAAGCGTCGAAGGCCAGATGCCTGCTGAGCCCTCTGAGCAGGCCCGTCCTTCCTGCCTTCCCCCCCCGGGCTCGCCGCCGATCGCAGCAAGAGGAGCTGCGGCGTAAACACCGCTTCTCGAAGGTCTGCGCTGATTTCTTGAATCTGCGCTGGAATGCCCTGGCGGTGCCTCCAGCGCCGCTCCTGGCGCGCCCCGCGCGCCGGGGAGGGGGGCATAGCGCAGATCCAAGAAATCCGCGCGGCCCTCCGAAAGTTTAGCTACATTTCTTTTCAATTAAATTCCTGCGCAGACAGGGCGATCTTGCCTTATATCGGGCCCCGCGACCCCCACAGACGGGCCCAAGTTCAGAACGTCTCACACCGCAGTCAGGTTGTGTCGAGGGTCCTACGTTTCTCTTTGATTGCGATGCTGCAATGTGTGCTTGACGTCAGACTTCGGGGGAGCAGGACTGGAGTGAGCCCAATATGCAGCAACGATGTTGGCAGGGTTCTTCGGCGGAGGAGGGAGGAGGAAGGAGGAAGAGCGAAATGAGGAAGGCTGTTAAGGAGGAGGAGGAGGGTGACGACGAGGAAGAGGAAGACGAGGCTGAAGAGGAGGAAGATGAGGTCGAGCAGCATGTGAGGAATCTGATGGAACACGTTCCCACTCGATGTCTGGTGGACCCTACGTAGGAGGAGGAGGAGAAGAGGAGGAGGAGGAGTGCCAGACGCCACGATCATCCGATCTAGGTCCGCGCAACGTCGAAAAGGAGGAAGAGAAGAAGAGGTGGACCAGAGAAGCCATGATGCTGCAGTGCACCCCCCGTCTCAAGCCCGCTCCATTTGTCCTTCCAGGTAGTCCTCCTCTCTGCGCGAAGTACCCCCCCCACACTTGAGAGGCGAACGCCCCGTTGGCCGGGGATGCAGGCGGAAGCACCGTCAGGGATGTGGGTCGGCTACAGTGGAGGCCCATGCCAAGGAACACCCTGCTTGCCTCCAGGGTGCCTTCGGTTTCGATGGTTTTGCTACAGAAAGCGCGACGGTCCCACACCAAAAATTAATGGACGTCCTGGGGTCTCAGGGTTGGGTTTCTTGTGGAAGGTTCCCTACCGTACACGTAAGAGTGACCTTTCGCCAGAGCGGCCTTTGGTGCGGGCATGTTGGGGCCCCCAGATTGCCGAATGCGATGCGGAAGCGGCGGCTTGCGCGCTCCGTTTCGGCCTCCCCGCGGCCCGCGAAAGTCGCGCACCCGAGGTCACTCTGGCTTATGGGGGCACTCTTACGTGTAGGCGAAGGGGGACCAGGTGCTGCCGGCGCGCGCAAGGGGCTGGCGTGAGGGGGGCGTCCTTCTAAGAGCAAGTTCTGGGTGCCCTCTCGGAGGGAGGGGGCCTCCTCAGGAGGGCCTTGGGGGGTCTGGAGAGGGCTTGTCACAAGCTTTCAAGAGTCCACCTGTCTTCTCGGAAGCCTTCCCCCCACCCGCGTTCGTGCAAGGTCACGCCCCTCGCGGCACCACCCCTCCATGTGTGCGCGCCGCCAGAGGAGGAGAGGGCGGAGGGGAGGGGAGCTCGCGACTCCTGACGGCAGGGGTCGCTGACGATCAAGAGAGTGACTCCCGGCGGCCTCGTGGACAAGTGGCCCCCGCGCCAGCGCCCGCGCCCGCGCCCGAGCTCACGGCTGTCTCTGGGCCGTTCTCTTGAGGCGGTCCGCTGGAGGGTCCCCGCTTCGAAGTGCAATAAACGGCACGAACATGAATGTTCAGAGGTTCTCGCAAGCATCCGAAAGTTTATGTTTGCTGTAGTTGTTTGACGCCGCTGACTTCCGACTCAGGGGGGTTTACTTGCATGGCATTTCTTTGCCCCCTTTTCTGGCCTCCGCCGCCTTTTCCAACAGCGCGCTGGCTCAAACAGGCGTGCGAGGGAGTCCTGAACTTGTGTGAAGCCCAGAATCCCTTTCGGCCCGCGCCCCCCCCTCCCACCACACCATTCAAGTCAGCGTGCTCGAGCCTACAGGGACACAAGGCATCGAGTCGTCGTCCTCACAGTCCGTCGCTCCGCCCTGTGGCGCCCCTGCTGCTGCTGCCGGTGTCTCCCGCCTGGGGATCTTGTGGCTCCGGACCGCTGGCCGCGGCGGGCGGGCGGGCTTCGGCCTGGCTGGAAAGGCAGCCCGTCTGCATCCAACGTGGCCTGTGTCCTCGGGCGAGGAGAAGTACAGACGGCCTTCATTGGACAGGACACGCGAGAGGACAAAAGACCCTTCCGAGGGCCACATTGCCATAGGAATGCAGGAGGCATGGGTCGCGAGACACAGGACACAAGAGGTACCCTTGATTTGGCAGGGTCCACGTACTGATCCGGGCCGACTGTATGCACGTGCACCGATCCTAACCAGGCCCATCCTGGGCCCAGGATGGGCGCACAGGCTTCAGGCTTTCCTGGCCGAGGCCGGAGGGCGTGTGCACCGATCCCAGGCTCGGGATGGGCCGGGTCAGAGTCGGTGCATGTGCGCACACTTGTCTTTCCTCTTTTGCCCGAGGCGGGGATGCATCCATGAGCACCGCCTGGGGGGGCTGGGGGTCGATATATCTGGGGACTTCGGCAGGCGGTGGAGTCGGATATAGTCAGGCCCTGGGGGGCCAACTGTGCCCACATCCGCCTGCCGAGGTCCCCACAGATCGACTCCCCAGGCGGGTGGTTTTACGGATAATTCGTCACCTCGCAGTTCGTGGACGAGTTTGGCGGCGCGTTGGAGGGGCCGCGTGGAGGATATTGGCGTTATGTTAAGTCGGGCATTTCCCTCTACAGGAGGAAGGTTCACTCCTCTTGCTCCTGCTCCTCCTCCTCCCCCTCCTATTCCTCATCCTGCTCCTCCTCCTCCTCCCCCTCCTATTCCTCCTCCTCCTCCTCCTCCTCCTCCTCCTCCTCCTCCTCCTCCTCCTCCTCCTCCTCCTCCTCCTCCTCCAGGACAAATGCGTATCTGTGCAGGCCGACCCCGCAGGTCACGGGTGCCCCGTGTCCTCTTTTGGGCCTTGGTTTGCTGCACCGCGTGGGCGGCCTCGGCAACGTCCGGGCCCACCAGGCGTGCACGAGCCTGCGCGAGTCGCCGAGCTCGCGCGGCGAGCTCGCGCGTCGGCGCCCTCTCTCCCAGGGTGGTGCGCACGGTGCACTGCCCAGGCGGCTTGCGCAAGCGACTCCGTGGGGTCGCCGTGCCACCGTCCTCTCGCACAGCGGCCCGGGCCAGCCCGACACAGGCCCTCGGACCCGATGTCGGTTCGATTCGGGACGATTCGCTGACGATCCGACCTGTTCCTGACGGTGCAACTCCCGGTAGGTCAACTTCAAATCGGCGCTGGTAGTTCCCTCGTCGAAGGCTGGCCTCCGAGTCTCGCCTCCTCCCGCTCCATCCGGCCTCAACCCGCTCTGTCTATAGGGCCTGGCCCAGCCCAGCGCGGTTGAATCCCCAGTTGAGTCCACGCTGATCCGGCTCGGCGGCCCCGTCATTCGCAGGTGGATAGACCTCCTACCCTGACGCGTCGATTGAGGAATTGGCCGTTTTCGGTTCGCGAGAGGGCGTCGCGGCCATTATGTTTGCGGGTCCAGGTCCGTCGGTTTCGGTCCCGGGCCGTTTGTCACTCAGGAGAGGTTTACTACAGGGAGGCTTGTCTACCGCCGAGTATAATCTGGCTTGGTAGCCCCTCGTCGCTCCGACGAAGGCCTCCCAGGAGTTGCCTCCGGATGCTCCCGCGCCGATCCGCTCCCGCGGTTCGATCCGGGGCAGGCTCTCCCCTCCGCCGCTCGTGTGTCGGCCAGCCCGCTCGTGCCGCGCGCGCGCGTCCCGCAGGTCCCAGAGGGGGGCGTCCTGCGCCCCGCGTCCGTCGTCGGGCCGTCCTCCTGCTGCCCTCGGGCCCGCGACGCCTGAAGCAACACCGGGGAGCAGACGCACACAGTCGGAGCGAGGTATTCAAGCAGTGGCGAAGCGTCCCGGCTCGCCTACAGCCCCGCCAAACAATGTTCTAAGAACCTTGTGCGGTTTCCACGACATGTTCTTAGAACATTTCTGGCGGAGACTGTCTTGTTTCATCACATCGGGTTGATGTTCTAAGAACATTGTCTCTGTTCTTAGAATATTTTTGGGTCCTAAGAACATTTCGGGGTAGGACTATAGGAATGCCGGGACGGTCGGTCCCTGCTCAAGGTATAGGATCGAGGTCGGGTCGGGGAGGGTCGGGGATGGTGCTCTTCGTGTCTGTTGGATGTCATTGCGTATCCTGGGGAGGGTGCCCCTTGGATGTTCGGTTTGTTCTGGCCGACGGAGGGTCTCGTGTTCTCGAGGACTGCTCTTCTGGCCTAGGTCCGACTGTAGGTTACATGAAAAGAAACTATTGGATGTCCACGCGGATTTCTCGGATAGGCGTTGGACCCCTGGCGGTCTCACCGGCGCCGCCCCTGGCGCTTTCGTCTCGCCGGGGAGGGGGGTCCAGCGCCGATCCAAGAAATCCGCACGGACATTCGGGAGTTTACGTGGCCCTGGGGCCTAGTTCACCAGTTGCGATTGCGTAGCACTTGTGACGTGGAGTGATTTGGGGTCCAGGGCAAGTTCTCTTCCGTCGAAGCCTTGCATAAGCCTGAATTCTGGGAACTCCGCTCGGATGTTGTATCGGCGTTGGACCCCATCTCTGGCGCGCTGGGGGCGCCGCCAGAGGGTTCGAGCGCAAATGCAAGAATGAAACCCACGCGGAGCTCAGAAAGTTGATGGTAGTGTATACACATGTGTCTTCCTCTCTCTACTCCAGATCCCCCTCCCTGAAGGACAGGGATCTGGAGGTTCGTGCTGCCAGGAGTGTTCTCGGGAATGGGCTCCTTCCGCAGCCGTTCCGGCTAAAGTCGGAAGCAGCGGTCATCTAGGCCTCCCAGATGATGGAGTCCAAGCAGATGAGGCCAGTGGATCGCGCCGCATCGCCGATACATCGGCGATGCGGTTCAATGTTGAGCCTGAGGTTCTCCGCGCCAACGTCGCCGCTGCATCGCCGACGTCGCCCATGCATCGCCGATACATCGTTGATACGGCGCCATTCTCCGACCCCACCTCGGCTCCGTGTTTAAACAATGTGCGCGATACCGAGTCTTGTCGCTCGTGCTCATGACTCTCATCCTTCTCCTTCTCCTGCTTTGCTCCCCATCCTCTCTTGCCAGGGCAACTTCTGCCGTTGTAGGGCTCGCCCTCCAGCTTGGACACATCATTTCATCGCCAAGGCTTTCCAAGGGAACATGCGTTATCAGCACAAACTCGTCAGGCTACATAAGGTCGAGGGCGGTTCGGGAGGGTACCCTCATGTTCTTCGTGCTTGTTGGATGTTTTGTTGCACCCCGGGGGAGTGTTTGGCCGGCGGAGGATCTCATATTCTGAGAGGATGTTCTTCTGTCCTACAGGCCTCTGGAAAATTGCGAGCAGTCATTCCGCATTCATCGGTCAACGCCTCCCCCTCCCCCCTGTGTTCCAAGTTGGCGGTGGGTCTGATGAGTTGCACTTCGACCGCAGTCTCCTCCGCGTGTGCCAACTCTGAATTTTGGGGAAAGGGGGAGTGTCCATTAATTGTTTCCCTCTGCCGTAGAACCCACCGTTGCATCCCCAGAGATCCGATGTCGTGATTATTTCAAAGCGGGGTTCCCAGAAGCCTCGACTCATTCCCCAGGACCGTTTTTCATCCTGAGCCGTCTTTTGACAGTCTGGGGCCCGGCGAGGGCCCCTAGAGACGGACAATTGCAAAAAACACCCGCGCGTGCCAGCTTTGAATTTGGGGGAAAGGGGGAGTGTCCGTTCATCACCATAGGTCCGGATGTGCTCGGACCACCTCTTCACTAACTCAAGACAGACACCTAATCCCGAGAACGCAAGGGCTAAAGCGAAACGCAGTCACTTCGAGACTTCGCGTACGTAGGGAGATCTCGGGGTGCGGTTTTACCTGGGGAAGAACGACGAGCGCAAAACAGACCCCGAAATCTTTGGCCGATGTTCGAATCCTCGGTGAATCGGCGATTTTGGGATTGTGAATGTTCCCCAAACACAGCTTGCACTCAGGGGTTCTTACTTGGAGTAAACCATACAAAGGTGATTTGTGGCTTTTGCGGGCGGTCCCGCCCGTCGCCGCCGTCGCCGGCGGTTTTTGCGGGCGGTTCCGCCCGTCGCCGCCGTGGCCGTCTCATCGATTTTTTCCAGAAAGAAAATAGACCTCACCCCCCTCTCCAGGATTATCTGTACCCCTTTTTTTCGTATTGCAATGTACATACGATTTTGCCCCATCGTCCATCCGGGAAATGATTTCATACCATCCCAGCCCATCCATTGGGGCCCCCCTCCGCCGTCCTCTGCAAAAATAGTATGCGCGCGTATTCGGTTATCGAAACATCATAGTTGTTCAAGAATCCCTTGCAAAAGTGCGACGAAGTGCGCACGCGCGCGTCGTCGCGCGTGAATGCCGAAATCCTTGAAAAATTGTTGGTTTCGTAGGGATCTCAAAATCAAGTGTCCAGAAATATATTCTTATCTATATTATCTGACACCAGGAAATTCTGACCCCCCCCCCAATGGATCCCGGAGGCCCCTCCCGCCTCGTTATTTATCGAGTGGGGCGGCC